CCCATAGCCTGCCACCTATCCTGGCCCTATTCTGCATGCAACAAAGAATGGAATCCCAAAGGCTGTCACGTAGCCTGAGCCTATGCTGTAAGAAGTGACACCTCTTATTCGCCAAATGGGGGTGGCGACACCATTCATTTTTGTACTCTTTCGCCAAGTGAGATGGTGCCTCCCTTACTGTCCAATCGTGATACATGCATGGGCTTATGAAGCCACCTAGCCTGCCACCTATCCTGGCCCTATTCTGCACACATAAATGTTTTGTGTAAGACTCCACCCATCAACTCCAATGGCCTTGCATGCAACAAAGAAAGGAATCCCAAAGGCTGTCACGTAGCCTGAGCCTATGCTGTAAGAAGTGACACCTCTTATTCGCCAAATGGGGTGGCGACACCATTCATTTTTGTACTCTTTCACCAAGTGAGATGGCGCCTCCCTTACTGTCCAATCGTGATACATGCATGGGCTTATGAAGCCACCTAGCCTGCCACCTATCCTGGCCCTATTCTGCACACATAAATGTTTTGTGTAAGACTCCACCCATCAACTCCAATGGCCTTACATGCAACAAAGAAAGGAATCCCAAAGGCTGTCACGTAGCCTGAGCCTATACTGTAAGAAGTGACACCTCTTATTCGCCAAATGGGGTGGCGACACCATTCATTTTTGTACTCTTTCGCCAAGTGAGATGGCGCCTCCCTTACTGTCCAATCGTGATACATACATGGGCTTATGAAGCCACCTAGCCTGCCACCTATCCTGGCCCTATTCTGCACACATAAATGTTTTGTGTAAGACTCCACCCATCAACTCCAATGGCCTTGCATGCAACAAAGAAAGGAATCCCAAAGGCTGTCACGTAGCCTGAGCCAATGCTGTAAGAAGTGACACCTCTTATTCGCCAAATGGGGTGGCGACACCATTCATTTTTGTACTCTTTCGCCAAGTGAGATGGCGCCTCCCTTACTGTCCAATCGTGATACATGCATGGGCTTATGAAGCCACCTAGCCTGCCACCTATCCTGGCCCTATTCTGCACACATAAATGTTTTGTGTAAGACTCCACCCATCAACTCCAATGGCTTTGCATGCAACAAAGAAAGGAATCCCAAAGGCTATCACGTAGCCTGAGCCTATGCTGTAAGAAGTGACACCTCTTATTCGCCAAATGGGGTGGCGACACCATTCATTTTTGTACTATTTCGCCAAGTTAGATGGCGCCTCCCTTACTGTCCAATCGTGATACATGCATGGGCTTATGAAGCCACCTAGCCTGCCACCTATCCTGGCCCTATTCTGCACACATAAATGTTTTGTGTAAGACTCCACCCATCAACTCCAATGGCCTTGCATGCAACAAAGAAAGGAATCCCAAAGGTTGTCACGTAGCCTGAGCCTATGTTGTAAGAAGTGACACCTCTTATTCACCAAATGGGGTGGCGACACCATTCATTTTTGTACTCTTTCGTCAAGTGAGATGGAGCCTCCCTTACTGTCCAATCGTGATACATGCATGGGCTGCCACCTAGCCTGCAAGAGTGACACCTTACATTTTTTGTAAATGCATGCATGCATATGTGTAACACCCTAAGCATGCAAATGTGACACTTCGCAGGCATGCAAGCACAAGCAACCACTACATCAAACTTATTTGCCTATAAATACATACCTTATGAAACATCTCTCACACCCACACAACTCTCACTCTCTGCTACAAAATATTTCTTAAGTCTATCATACCCTCTATTTCTTCCTAAGTCTTTCATACTCTCAAGCATTCTGAACAATGGGCGATACTCACAGAGGCACAAGGGAAAACATTGTTGCATTTGTAAGTCTCTTCTTTGGTTATACATTTTTCATACTTCAAATAATGTGTTGTTCATCTTAATTAATCTTACACTTGTTTAATTATGATCTCAGGATACAAAAAGATTCAGAATCCGTTCGCACAACTACCTGGCTCCCGACCCATTTATCGTCCCTTATCTGGAATATGCAGGTTTTGGACATGTGATAAAGATCTCCAATTGCACCATTGACTCAAAATTCATTCTTGCAATATTGGAGAGGTGGAGACCGGAGACCCATACATTTCACCTACCAATAGGTGAATGTACCATCACTCTCGAGGATGTGTACATGCTACTGGGCCTCCCTATCGACGGTAAGGCGGTGAACGGGTCGGTTCAACAACCCAACTCACAGTGTGAAGAACTGTTGGGTAGGGATATGGTAGAAGGTGGTGGAGCAAGAGGGCAGGGAATACTACTCACTGACCTGAAACGGCATTATGCAAGTATGGAATTAAATGAAAATTCCTCAGAGAATGACCGAGTAGTAAAAGCCAGAACGTATCTTATGATACTTTTTGGTACATTTTTATTTCCCGAAAGTACGGGAAATAGTGTAAATTTCATGTACTTACATTTACTAACAAATTTTGAAAAAACTAGAAAATATAGTTGGGGTTCTGCAGTATTAGCCCACCTGTACAGTTCCTTGTGCAAAAACGCAGTCAAGGAAAAATGTACATTTTATGGGTGCGCATTTTTACTACAAGCCTGGGGTTGGTGGAGGATGGAGTCCTTAAACCCCATCAACAACAACACTTTTGGTTTCCCGTACGCAACAAAGTAAGTCATTAAGTTATAGCATTTATAACTATTCCGCTCTTTCCAAAATATATGCTAAAAATAACATGTTTCTCATTTCCTTTAGGTACTGCGTGAGGGGTATGGATTACGGCAAGAATCCAAGATTCAATGTCGCACTCTACCGGAATCTGTTGGATCACTTAGGCCCGGATGACGTACGTCGTAGCTTTTAACTTTTGTTCATTTTAATTATTTATACATTACTTTTGCGCTAACCTGATTTAAATTTTATCGCAGTTCGTCTGGAGACCATATTTGGGTTTGGGACATTCTCCAAACCCAGAGGATGCAGCAACTTGGACTGCAAAGACAGACTGCACTCATTCGGTTCAACATTGTGGAGATGCACCACAGCGACCGTGTGAAGATGCAGTTCGGAATGCATCAAGAGATACCAAGTGATCCAACAGATTTATCCCCCTGGCATCTAAAAAGGGTCGACGCCCAGTGGGGTCTTACCAACTGGAAAGACTTTGCTCCGGAATGGTGTAAAATGTGGCAAAGGCGTCACCGCTACATCTTGCAATCCCCGGTTTTCCTTACTCAAGGTAACATGCGACACACTGATCAATATATGTCGTGGTACAGGTCGGTTAGTAACCCAGAAATGCACGTGTCTCATCCGAGGTACTTGGTTGACCCACGCACACAATGGGCACAACCCTCGATTCCCCATCAACAAACCCAAAATCCATCAACCTCAAACCAACCCCCAAGAAGAAACAGACCAACAAACACACAACCACATTCCCCACCACAACACAACTACAATCAAATGTCGTACTACCAACCACAATCACCGCCAAACTACCAATACCCGGATATGCCTCAAACCCAACCATAATACCAACCCCAATACCAGCACACCCACATACCCCAGACACAATTTCAGTCTTCCACATATCCCAATATGGCGCCCTCAACATCCAGCCTTAGCCCTGATATGGGAATGTCAGAAGATTATGACCAAGCCGACCAAACCTACCATCAACCACCATATCACCAAACAACCCAACATCCACAATACCAAACACCCCAAGATCCATTTCCTTTCTACCCCCCATACTCAGACGACCAATGCTACCGACCAACCATGGAACCCCACCCACCGCCAACACGACCAAACTTTGAGGGTATGGGTAACCGACTGTACCAGAGCGAATCTTCGAGATATGGAGATCTTACTGATTTTATGGATTCAGATTGCATTGACTTCGCTGGGCCATCGACCTTGCCACAGCAGGAAACGCGACGGCACCCAGCAAGAGAAAGGCGAGGACGGGGATGCGGAACCGGGGGTCATTACCGGGTTCCGGGGGATCACCGATGTATCTTTTTTTTTCCCAGTATTTTTTGTATCCATTTTTTTTACTGTTCTTTTAATGTAAAACAGTTGAATGTAATTATTTTTTTTTAAATAAAAAATCCATTTTGTTGATCTCTGTCTAATAGGCAACGCACAGGAAAGAAAATAAAAAAAAATTTTGCCCTAATTTTGTACATAGGCGCCATCTCACTTGGCTTAGGGCATGCCCTAAGCACTTAGGCGCCAAGTGAGATGGCGCCTCCCTTAAAAAAGGAGGTGCATGCGCCAATTGAGATGGCTCCTCCTTTGTGGAGCCATCTCAAACATGGTTATTTGCGTAATTTTTTCCGAAACCCGGTTATTTACGAAATATTTTTTTAATACATGGTTATTAATAAAAAAAAATTCCTATTAAAAAGTGAAATACTTTGGAAATTGTTTTTGAAATATGGATTATTTTAAGAATAAATTTGAAAAACTAAGTTATTTAGATAAAAATTCAATACACTACACAATTGATTTTAATTTTAATTTGTTTTGCAGATAAAAATCAATGTGTTTGTGTTATTAAATATATAAATAATTTATTTATTTCTAAAACCATAACATATGTAGTTACCAAAGTCAAACATCGGAGGTTGTGGTCGTTCGTGTAATGTCTTAGAGAGAGCTCGCATCGTCAAGATGAAGAAGCAATGTCGATAAATATTCTCTTAGTGGTGTTTGTTACTGTTAAGTGACAAAGACACTTGATCTTATGTCTTCTATATATTGGGACAAAGAGTCCTCTACCCAGTATTCAGATTTGGTAGGAGCTAAACAACTTTATGTTTTTTAGATCTAGTGGTTTCCTAGCTCCTTCTCAGTTTGTTGGTATGCTTTTGGATGATGGGTGTCGCCGGCTGGTTTAATTTGGACAACAACCTTCCATTTCGACGGTGCTTTCAATCACCGGTGTTGTTTCTCAAGTTTGTATTCGTTTTTTCTGAAATTCATTTTGGGTTTTGTTTATACCTTGGAGTTGGATTTGAGTTTTCATGGAAGAACAAGGTTTCTTTAGTTCTCTTCTGAATGTGAATGAACTTGTTGGGTCGCCTTTGTTTGTGCCTTTGAATTTAACAAATGTTGTTCATACTGTTGAAAAGTCGACATTTGAAAATGTTGTAAATTCTATTGAAAAGTCGGTGTCTGCATCAGATATATCTTTGAATGTCATAGGTGAAGTTGTGGTCCCTAAAGCGAATGGTACAAGTGCAAAATTTTTTGCTCAAGTGTTGAGTAAGACGTGTGCTATTATCCCTCATGGTAGATTTCCAAGATCTAGTTTGAAAGGGGAAGACATAGCTATCAAAATTCCCAAGGAAGACTATAAGATTAGTCTTGAATCATGCAAAAATCATCTTCATCGAAGGTTGATTTTGTCTAAAGGAGATCCTCCCCTAAAACTTCAAGACTTGCGTTGTAAATTAGACACTTTTTGGAAGCCTTTAAGTAAACAGAAAATTGTTTCCTTAGGAAGAGGTTTCTATGAATTTGTTTTTTCTTCTACTGAGGATGCCCAACGTGTTTGTGCGGCACTTTCTTGGAGCCTAAAGCCTGGTTTTCTCAAAAAAATTGCTTGGACTTCTGACTTTAATCATAATAACCATAAACAAACAACAATTCAATACTGGGTTCATTTTCTTGATTTGCCACGGGAATATTGGAGTCCTAATATTATCTTTGCAATTGCTAGTTGTCTCAGAATGACAATGTGTTTGGATGCTACAACAAGTAAGCGCCCACTAGAGAGATCTTTTGGATATTTTGCTAGAGTTTTAGTTGATATTGATTTATATGCTAAAATCAGATATAAATTGTGGGTTGAAAGAGAAGATTATGTGTTTCTTATTAACGTTGAATATGAAAATTTGCCACTTTTTTGTTCGCATTGTCATAACATTGGTCATAGTTTTTCTTCTTGTAAATTTGTCAAAGTGGACCAAGAGAAAAGGGTATTTAAGGAAAAGCATAAATGCATGGGAAATAAGTCTCAGAATGAGGATTTAAGAAAGGAATCAGTTGAATGTGAAAATGCTACATCTGTTGATAATAATCCTCTTTTAGGATCTGTTGATTATTTGAAAACCACTATTGATGGGAATGTTGTGAGTATAGATGTGTTGCATCAAGGAGACTTGGGTGTCCAAGGTAATGAAAATTCATGTGGTTTAGTTGATATGGATACCACTGATCAAGGTAAAATTGACAAAAATCATGATAAAGATTCAGATTCAGATGTCCAACAAGTTATGAATTTTCTAAGTGAATCTTGGGCTAACATGGATAAGAGAGATGAGATTGTTGATTTGGATGAAAACACAAGTCAACCTTTTCAATTGGTGGTTCCAAGAAAAATGAAGAACAAGAAGAAATTGCCTCAGGCGGGCAAAGGATTCAAGGTGAGTGCATCTAACTGTATGCTTCACTAGTTTCTCTAATATGAGTTGTCTCTCATGTGTTTTATTGTCTATCTTTCTATTTTTATTTTTTGTTGTGCCCTTCTTGAAGGTTTTGGTTTTGTCCCCCTCCTCTATGTACCATTTTATTTTGTTTAATATATTTTAGACCTAGTTGTCGCAGGAGAAGAAGGTTTAAGTTTGAGAACTGGTGGATGGAAGAAGAAGGTCTGGAGGAGGTTGTGAAGTACGGTTGGAATCACGAAGTGGAACATGCGGTTGTGCAACGTATTGGAAAATGTACTACAGAATTGGAAGATTGGAATAAGGTGCGTATTCGAAAGAATAATGAAGAACAAGAAGGACTTCGGGAAAAGTTAGAGTTTCTCCGCAAGAGTAGTGATCCGGCAACAAATATGCAGTATTTAAAGTTCATAATGTTTACAATAAAGTCCTTATCCGAGAAGATATTTATTGGAGACAAAGGTTAAAGATGTTTTAGTTAAGAGATGGTGACCTTAATACGAAGTTTTTTCACCGGTCTGCTACTGTAAGACGAAATTTCTAGAAATTAGCTATGCTAAAAAATGAGGAGGAAGTGGAGATTATAAATCAACAAGGTATGTGCATAGTTAGAAAAAGGAGTTTTGAGAATATGTGTGCTGCTAATGCAGGAGTGTATGAGTCGGTGTTAAATTTGATATGTCTTGTAATTACTAATGGCGACAACATCCAGTTAACAACACCGATTCTGAAAGAGGAGTTGCATGACGCCTTGATGATGATGCATCCCGACAAATCTCCCGGCCTGAATGGTCTCAATCCAGCTTTCTATCAAAACTTCTGGAACTTGTGTGGAGATGATATTTATAAGGAGGAAAAGATCTAGTTGGATAGAGGCTTTCTCCCACCAACTCTCAAAAGATACCCATATTTGTCTTATCCCTAAACGTGGGAATCCTAGTTCTATGCAGGATTTACGCCCTATATCTCTGTGCAATGTGGTTTACAAGATTGTGTTGAAGCTCTTAGCTAATAGACTGAAGAATTATTTGCATAAGTACATAGGAGAAGAACAATCGGCTTTTATGGAAGGGAGATTTATTCTTGATAATGTTATGATTACATTCGAGGTTATTCATTCGCTTAAGAGAAGGACTAAGGGGAATAATGCTCAGTTGGCTCTTAAGATAAACATTAGTAAGGCATATGAAAGAGTGGATTGGGGTTTCTTGGGGAATGCTTCAAAGGTTTGTATTTATGGATAAATGGATTCAGTGGATGATGATGTATGTGTCATCGATGAATTACTTTATGCTTACGAATGAGGATATTGTGGGACCAATTCAACCACGAAGAGGGTTGAGACAAGGAGACCCACTATCTCCATACCTCTTTATTATTATCACTGAAGGTCTTTATGCCTTCTTGAAGGGTGTTGTAGCTCGAGGGGATCTTCATGGAGTTCAAATATGCAGAGGGGCACCTAGTGTGTCCCACCTATTTTTTATTGACGACTATTTTCTTTTTTACAGGGAAAATTTTAATTGAGGTGCATAACATTATGGAGATTCTAAAAATTTATTTTCAAGCTTTGATAAGTATAAATTGTAGTTATTTTTGTATATACTTTTTGTTGCACTTATCGACTTTTTGTTTGTAATATTGTTGAATAACCCCGACTTTTGTGTAAATACGTATAGTTTATATTTATTTGTGTTTTTGTGTACATAGTGTACTGTTTGATGTTTTGCCATTCATTTTGTAGGTATTTGTTACATTTTGGAGCATTAAGGAATTATGTGTCGAAGGCACGGCTCCGGATGCGTGTTTTCAGAATAAAAGATCAGTTTTGGGACTTCTTGTCTAGGAGAGCCCGCTTAGCGCGTAAAGGCCGCTAAGTGTGAGTGGCGCTCAACATATTTTGTAGCGCGCTGCTTGTGTTTTACTGTTTTGGCAGAACCAAAGTTTTGAAGCCCGCTTAGCGCAGATAGCGCGCTTAGTGCGGTTTAGTTTGGTTTAGTGTGTAAATATCGCGCAGCCCGCTTAGCGCACTGAGGACACTTAGCGCAGTCTACTCAGTTTTGTTTTATAAAAATAGATTTCATTCATTTTTAGGTGATGGTTTTGGGGAAGTTTTTCTCCCAAATCCATCACCTTGTAAATTTTGTTAGGATTATCTTAGATAACAACTATGGAGCTTGCATACGGATGATTCAGGATGGATTGCTCTTAGATCGGTGCTGACAAACCGGTAGATCTGCGGTTCATTTCTATTTCTCTTTGTGTAATCTTCTATGGTTGGGTTTATATGTATATTTTCTTTGATCTAATGTATATTTTTCCCCCTTGGCATTATATAAAACTTGCTTTATGAAACTTTGTGGATTATTGTCCTAGATTTTTGCTCTGTGCTAGGGATTTGCGTCGTTATAGACATATACTGCTTAGGTTCTTATCTAGGATGATTAATCGGTTAGTTTCTTAACTCTAGAGATAGATTTAGAGCCGAAAATCTACTTAGGTATCGGAGCTTAAAGCCTCTGTGTTGTTTGTGTCATTCTGAGAGATCTTTGATACAGGCGAGCACGGTTGAATTCTGTGTTGTCGAGGTGGTTGAGAGATCTCTACCGAGGTGATGCAGTAGGCCTCTCAATTTGGGTTAGAAATGACTTAGGTTGTGAGTGATACGTTGTGACATTGATGAGTAATGTTAGGTTGAGTGTAACAGGTCGATAGGTTTAAGTCAGTGAGAAGTAGTATATATGCATACCTGATAAGTTCTTTCTTAGTATTTTTCCTTTTTAAACATTCATTTTCTGTTAATAACATTTTCTTTACAAAACTCATTCAACCCCCAAACTCATTAACAAGAATTTGTCGAACGGAAATTCAATAACCAATCTATGTGGACACGATAAATTTCTGGATAAATGTTTCCAAAACTTTTGTTGCTTACCGCTATACCGCATCTAAAAAAATGGCGCCGTTGTTGGGGATTGGTTATGTTGTTTTCGCATTGCGATGGTTCTTTTATTTTTGAGTTTTGTAGTTAATGTATATGTTGTATAGAAATTGTACATTAACTTGTATATGATATTTGTGCATATATGTGTTTTTCTTTGTTTTCACGTATTGTTGTGAATTGTCTCGTTATCATAACTTTTGTTGTATGGATGTTAGGAAACTTTCTTTAGATTTGCGCGGTGTGACAATACCATGGCATGACGAGAGAAGGTCACTAGCTCGCACAATAAAGGCGTCGAGCTTACGACGTAAAACAAGCATGCTTGTTTGTATTCGTTTTTTTATGTGTTGGCTTGTGTTTTAACAAGTTGAACTCATATTAGTTTTTAAATTTCAAATTTTCACTTTTCAACTTGTTAATTCATTTTTTTCCTTTTGTTTCGATATGTAAAATTATGTGTTTCCGCAAGTTTGTCGTGTTTAGCTTGTGGAAGTATGTTTGTTAATGTTGTGAATATTGTAATTGATGTACATAGAGTATGTATGTGATGGTGGAGTTGTATAACAGCTACACCAGATGCTGCTGTCTTTTTTTCTGCGTCTGGTGTAGTACGCTAAGCGCACTCCAGGCCGCTTAGTGTGCTCTACTGGGCAAAGCCAATCAATTCTTTTTAAATTTTTGCTTGGCTTGTCTTTTTTCCACTTCCACCTAGGCGTTGTAGTAGTAAATATTATTAGTATAATTAATTCTTTTGTTGTTGTTTGTACTCAATTTTGGTTCGATAACTTGAAGTTGCTTTTGGTAATTTTCCAAATTTGAGTGTGTTAACTTGTGAATGCGTGGTAATGATATTGTTAAAGTTTTGTGCATGTTTGATGTATGTTTTTATCGCTTTCTATACCTTAGCATATTCATGATACTTAGAATTTTTACAATTTTTATGCCATTCATTCTTTTGTACACATGTTCATTTGTGAATCACTTTAGTTTCTATCTTTTTTTGTGAGATAGCTTTTCATTGTTCACATATGTTGGAGACCTCAATTCTTGTTTTAACTAGATTTTATTATGTTTAATCTTTTAATTGTATTGATTGTATGACTACCCTTGGCCAAATAGTCAATCCACCTTGTGAGTGTGTGATCATTAGTAACCCCTTTGAGCGTTTTGTTGATATCCATGTCATTTTTGCTAAATGATTGTCTATAAGTGTTTAGTTTCCCTTTTTGCATGGATGTTGATTTCGTTGTTTTCTTGAACCCTCAACTATGATTTTTAGTTGAATTTTCACCTTGCCTTAGAAAGAAGGGAGTATTCACTTTAATTTATGGTTGGATTCAAGTTTGGGAGAAAAATGATTGCGTATTTATGTTGTGATTGCTATGAGGTTGAGAAGGAAAATAAGAGAAAAAGAAAGAAAAAAATGTGAAAAGAAAGAAAAGAAAAAGAAAGAAAGAAAATAGAAAAGTTTTTAAAAAGAAAAACAAAAAGATTTCGAATAGTTGTGTTAATAAATGATGTGCTTTGGTGTGAAATTCCGGATTCGAAAGAAGTTTAATTGGAATTTTGTGTTTGAATCCTTGGTGAATTGACCACTCCCTTAAGTTTAGGCAAGTTTTTGTTTCGATTAGCCTTAGAAATTATCTCTTGTTTGTTAACCAAGCCACATTACAACCTTGAAAAGCCCTTGAGATTCTTGCTTTTGTATTTTCAATATAAATTTTTGGATGAATGCATAATTTAGTCTTTTGTTTGCAGGATTGTGGATGAGTGAAAATACCTCATTTTTGTGTTTTTTTTTCATCTACCGATGATTATTTTTGCTATATGTGATTCATTTGTGAACTAGTATTGTTAGAATGTTTGGAATATTCTTTGTATTTAGCATTTGTTTCATATTTATGTTATCGCTGTAGTTTAGTGGTAAGTATATTTCTTCGTGTGTGCCATTTTTCATTTGAGCCATAACATTTATTTTCCTTTTTTCAAAACTTGTTGATGCATGATTCTTTGGTTTATTACTTTTAGTTCTTTGAGTTGTTTGACCTTGTTTGAGGACAAACAA